CAACAACGGCTTCAATGGCTCAAGTCCTCAATTGATATCACTGCAATGCCTCCGACCGAGAGATCCTGTGGTCCCCAAGAATCCTATTTCCTTGCTCTGATTTCACCCTTTGCTTACACACACACTTATTCATATGCAATACACGTCCACTCACTGTCGGCCGATCAGTAGGGAGCTTTGAACTTTTCTCGGCTGTGGTGGTGCCCTACAGGTGGTAGATACGTAGTTGGGGAAGAACCCACCAGCCAACGTTAAAGTCGGTACCAGATCTCGTCCGCAGCAAGGGAAGATCGTCGCCATCTACCGAGAAGGGAAACGTGAACTACATTTAAGGGAATAGTGACTTAAACCGTGGAATCACTAATCAACCTACGTTAATGATTTTCAGCTTCCGAAAAAATTGAAGCTTTGAAAAAGCTATCATCAGCTAGACCACTGAGTCCCTGCTGACTGACAATGCTACGAGAAGTATTAAAAGATCATTGCAGAAAGTATATATGTTTTTAATCATTATACGATTTTTCAGTGCCATATCAATATATCTGGAACAATGGCTACTAATGAATTTATAAAAGTCTTAATACTATTCGAAACAGATTTCCAGTTTAGTAAGTCTTGTATAATAACACAATTATTTATAACGTTTTTACTTTCCCGTATACGGAGTAATATAAGAAATAAAGGGAAAGTTATGTAATGCTGCGGAAAATCGATTTCGAGAATTTCACGGAAATACACGTTTTTGGGTCCTGATACCAAAAAATAGTTTTTATTCGTTTGTTTTTTTCCACGTCCGTCCGTCTGTCAGTCCGTCCGATAGCACTAATTGCACTCTTTAATGTGACGTAAAGGTCATTTGAAGTTATTTTTTGTTTTTCAAAAATTACAGAAATATAATTTTTTGAAAGATATCTCACGTCGTTTATATGCACATTTCCAGTGATTTGTAAACACAAGCATTTTCTGTGAAAAGGGGCTTAAAATTTCGAATTTACAATAGGACTTAAACGCCATTTTCTTGCTAAATTTTCTTAATTTAGAAAAAATCCTCTAACGTGTGGTGAAGCCAAAATACGTGTTTTGTTGGTTCTTGATGCCGAAAAATCGATTGAGGACAAAACGTCCGTCCATCTTGGGACAACGCTAGTGGCTCAACCGATCAGCCAATTTTCTCCAAAATTGATATTTCCACATCGTTTTAGCTAATGTCACGGCCCCTGGAATTTGAAACTCATATTTTAATTTTGGGGTGTACTTTACATCAAGTCCCTCGGACACTTTCAAAATTTTTCAAAAATCGGCTCGAAAAGTTTTTATTAAATTATTTGTTCAATAGTGCGAAAGAAGTTTAAAAGAACTGTGCTGGTCTCATTTTCGGCGATACTCCCAATGATATAAAAATTGCAAAAAATATAATTAAAACTACAAAATTTATGATAGAGATTTTTGGCTCAGACAAAATCTGTTGTACAAAATTAGGTCTTTAAAAAAGGTCATGTACATTTGTTTGTAAACGTGTGTAACTTTTGTAGTTTGCGCTTAAAATTTACGAAAAAACTTTTCTCAAAAACAGATTCAAATTTTTCCTATTAGTTTTCCCCAAATATGTAATAAGAGACGGTAAGAAATACGGTGCTAGTCCCATTTTCGGGCATTTCTCGTTTTTTTTAGAAAATAACAAAATTCACTTTTGAAAGTACAAAATTGAAGATAGAGATTTTTGTCTCAGGCGAAGTCTGTGGTACAAAATTATTCCTTTAAAAATACCTTGTTAAATTTTTTAGGAACAAAACAATATTTTGTGTAATATGCTCTTGAAATTTATAAAAAAGACTTTTTCTCAAAAACCGCTCCAAATGTTTTCTTTGAATTTTCTCCACATATGCAATCAGAGACGGTAAGAAATATGGTGCTATTCCCATTTTCTTAAATTCTTCACATTATGTTTTTTCACATTTTTTCAGCTCCGTAACGCTAGAACTAAAACTGTTGTGTCTTGTGCAATATGGAAGTCTAGAGGTATTGTCCTCCTGGATGGCCGAGATTGTTAAGTAGCATGTTCAGGTTCATCAATTGAAACCTAGAAATCACCGGTTCGAATTCCACAATATTGATTTTCTGAATTTCATTCCGATAGAAGTGTTCTTGTAGAAAACACTACTAAGGATTCGAGAAACTTTATGGAAAACCTTTTAAAGCACTTCTACTCACAAATGCAATCATTACATATACAAATAAACCGAATGTGTCTGTATATGCTTATGCTGTATGAAATTTTAAATACAGTGTGAACACTAGCCATGTGGCAAACTTAGATATCCCTAACAGTTCAGAAATTATTATTACTTTCTCGCCTTACGTATTCTTAGTAAGTAGAGAATTTTGTGAAATCGTGCCGAAATTTCCGGCAGAATAAACCTTATTGCCGGGTTCTGGTAATGAAAAAGTAGAAAAATTCTGTTCCTAAATTTAGAAAAAAATCATCTAACTCTTGGTGTAGCCAAAATCCATGTTATGTAGGTCCTTGATACCGAGAAATTGATTGACGACAAAGCGCCTATGTGTCTGTTTGTCTGTCGGTCTGTGGTCAACAATAGCGCCTAAACAGATCAACTGATTTTCTTCAAAACTGATATTCCCTGATTGATCTTAACAAACTGAAGGCTTCTAACGGATATTTTTATTTTTGAAGTGTTGTTTTACAATCGGGCGTTTGCCCTTTTATACCTTTGTTCGAATTTGAACCATGCGGCGCTTCAGTGGCATAGTGATATGAGGGTTGGCACGTTAATTCTGAGAATCTGAGTTCGAGTCTCGGACAGTAAATAAAATTAGCTGCTTCACAACACTTTTGCTGGTTATAAAGTAAGGTAATGTTGCGGAGATTTTAGAAACAATTCGAGAAAGTATGTGCTTTGACAGAACCACTAGCTCTACTTATTATGCTGTTCGGGATTGAAAGTTCAGAAATTGCCACTTTCCGTCTGTCCAAAGAACACTTCTGGCTGCTCACCGCAAGACATAACTGGTACTATCAGGTGCCCACAGGTTGACTTCCAGGTTGTCTCTAGAGACCGTGGCAAATCCTTTACCAAAAGTCCTCGAGATATCAATGGAAAATAAAATAAAAGATAGTACCTGCAAGCATTAGAAATCCCGAACGATGTAACTGAAGAATCATCAATAAAGATTTAAAATGAGAATTATCAATAATTAATCATATTACAAAGAAACAATAATCGTAGGAAATCAAATGAAATACGAATCAAAAGCAATAGTAATTTTGGAAATATCTTCCAATTTGAAGAATACTTTCAAATTCTTTGTTATAACTCGAGCGTTGTATTCAACATGCATCAAATATCTACAAAAATGTTTATTTCAAATAAGTGACACATTTGTACATTCAATCCAATAAAACAGAGGAAACGGATGAGTCAATAAAATTTCCTCAGGTTGTCCTCTCTCATACATCTCAGAGCGTTTTTATTGTAAATAAATAAATAAATAAATAAATAATATTAATTAATTAATAGCATTAATTTATAAAAATTACATATTTCAATTACAGTTAATTTGATGTGTAGTCACCTTGACTTGCCCCTTCAAATTACCCATTACCATGAATTACCGGAGCGCCACCGATTATCAATCATAGGTTTGCAAACAGTTTTGAAATGCAGAAGAGAGACCAAGATAATCAAATTATCAAATTGCTCAAAATAAAGGAATATTATTACATAAACGTGCTAAATATCAAATATTCAATCTTCTATATAAATAAAATTGAAGTGTCTGTCAGTGATTTCAAAATAGCTGCTTTTTTACTTTCGCGTATAAGTACGTATATACGGAGTAATAAACGTAGTACAGGGAAAGTTATGTAATGCGGCGAAAAATCGATTTCGAGATTTCAACGGAAATACACCTTTTGGGGGTCCCCAGACACCGTAAATATGTTGTTTTTTTTAAAACGTGTGTGTGTCCGTCCGTCTGTCCATCCGTCCGTCTGTCTGTCCGACCGTCCGTCCGTCCGTATGTCCGTCCGTCGGTCCGTCCGTCAGTCCCTCCGTCGGTCCGTCCGTCAAGACATTTTTTTAAAAAAATGTACTTTGGGCGGCGAAAAATGGCAAATGGCATGAGGATGGGGCATGTTCAAATAGCTAGCCTAGACCAAAGGAAATATAACACTAATACGGGAAACTTTGTGCCATTCTTTAGCCCCACAAGTTTTCTTTTAATTTGTTCATGTATAAAACAATAGACGCGTAAAAGAATAGCACAGGTCTGTCGTTGCACTAATGTAGAAAAAAGGTGAGAAATCATGTCTTATTGTAGCTCCAATAGCTCTTCTGAACATTCTTGAAGCAGTTTTCCCTACATTTTAAAATATCTGAAGAAAAATATATACCCCCCTTAGTATGACGTCATTTCTGAAATCTCTCACATTCTCTTAATAATAATAGTGCCAACTAACGACTCATTTACTCTATATCAACATCTGTCAAAAATCATGACAATGTGTCGTTCTCTACATATGGGTGATACTTTTAAAATTAATCCGAAAAATAACAAATCGTTTTTAAAATCAAAATAATCCATATGGCAAAGGTTTTTAAAACAACGCTTTATTTACTTAGCATAACTGCAAGTAGTATCTTTAACGGTAAATGTAATGAAGAAAGAATTTAAATATTCGTTGACTCTTGAAAAAATTACATATGAAAACTGGAATGTAATTTACTCTGAGAAGACAATTGAAAACCATTTTCATGTACAGAAAATACATTCAATTTTAGCAATGCAATGTTACAATAGGGTTAAAGTAATTAAACGACGTCAAAAGTAATTTTCGAAAACGGTACCAATTTCTGTGAAAAATAACTTCAATTTTCGAATTTACCGTAGCACTTGGGCGCCATTTTCTTAAAAACGGCTCCATAGTTTTCAAAGACACTTGCAATTAGAACGAGGTAATGGTACAATGCAGATGTACTCACCTCCCGTGCTGTAAAAAGTGTATCAAGAAGCGGACTGCGTCAGCGGTGGATTTTCAGCTGAAAGATCGCGTAATGTTGAAGAGCACCCGCTCACGGTCGCCGGCACTGCGACTTAGCGAGCGCCTGTGAACTCCGCTCGCCGATGACGCAGCGCGTGTTTACTCGCGCCTGGGCAAGGCCAGCCCGCTCACGTCTCCCGCGGCGGCCGACTGCCGCCGCAATCCGATGAACATTCACAGCCTTCGGAGAACGCGGTTCGATAGATTTAGATTAATTCAGTAAAAAACCAGTAAAAACAGTATGTGACGTAGGGGGAATAAGATTATCTGCGCACGTCTTCGTGAGTTCCAGAATCTCTTCGTCATTTTAACTACAATTAGTTGAAAAATGAGTAAAAGTTTAACATAAATAAATAAAAATTAATTTTAAAAATCGCAAGATTAGCAATATTTGAAAAATAGTCATTTTTGTTTTCGAGTTATAGAAAACTTATTTGCATCGGTACACGAATTGCAAGAATGATTTTTCTGAATTGCTATGAAAATAGCAAATCGCCGTTTCCTCTACTTCTACCATTACAAGCACAACTAGCACCATTACAAGCAAAAAGAGAGTTCAACAAAACGTGCGCACAGTGAAGCTACATTTACCGTACATTAATAGTATTTCGTAGAATAGAGTCACAGTGATCCACTTGAAAGAAGTTGTAGGAGAAATTAATAATACGAATACAGGAATAACTTATTCAAGAAGTTTACATTACTGGGACAATAAAAATATATACATACGTATACAACAATCAATATACAAATCATTATTTTTATAAGATTTTTTGTGTATAACCGTACCTCGAGACGCAATGAAGCTTAAAATTACATTTAAATAATTTTATTTCTAATTTGTGGCTCAAAACATAAAGAATGGTAATGGTTTTTTTTCTATTAAATCTTCAAAATTATATCTTTTGATTTCGCGATTCAATAACTTTTTATATCCTTACATAATAGTCGAATAACCTTCGGCTCACCCGTCCTTCCGTCCTTCCGTCCTTCCGTCCTTCCGTCCTTCCATCCGTCTAAACGGACGGACGGACTGACGTCCGACGGTCCTTTGCAGAACTCTTGCAGTCCACTAATCGAAATAAATGAAGACTCAAAGCATCTAAGTCTCCCGGTGGGAAACTGACCATTTTTTACAAATTCGATCGAAATATTTTTAATTTTGTCTCTAAAAAACTTTTTAAGTTGCTGAAACGCATTTGGATGACTTGCGGTACTTACAAATAAGATCAGATTCGATTCCTCTCGGTAAAACGCTTCAATTGACATAGTTGTTAATAGTTTCTTTATTGACTGAAAACATTGATCTTTCTTTATATGTACTGAAAACATTCTGTAAAATCCCATTTTAACGGTGGTGTAGTATTAGCTTCAAGTTGACGTTCAATCATTATAAGTATGTTGTTAGGGGGAACAAATAAGAGCTGTTTGATGTATGGAGGAAATATTAAAAAGCAGACGAGTAAAATTGTATAATTTCAGTATATGTAATAAATAATATGTGGTAATGATAATTAAATATTAATTCATCGATACCAAAGGATATTAGCATGCAGTGTCATCGTCAAAGTGGGAGTAAAATACATTTGTAATATCATGTTTCAATGCAACTACGAGTTCATTGGTGAAACGCTGTGAATCTACACTTTTATACTTTCCTTGCACAACTCTCTTACACTTCATCACTTCAAAGGGAAATGTTCTGAGGAAGTAAAAGGTTTGTCTGTCAGTACACCCGTCTCGGGTCAAAGCTAGCGCCAAAACGGTCCAGGCTATTTTCTCTCCTCGATTGATGTTACTCGATCAAACGAAAGTAATTTGAAGCCCTCAGACATTCTAACCTTCAAGTCGTACAAACACTCACCATAACCGACGATATCTGTTGAACTTTGTACAATATTGTACAAACAACAAATTCAAACTGATTGCAGGATAGCGGGAAAAAATTGATATTGTTATTCGGAATTTGGAGAAAAAACGTGTCGAGGTTTAGATGTGGCTCTGCCGTGCGATGAAAAGTTCGTAATCAGGTAGACAGAGAATTGTCTTAAAAACAATAATTGGGATATTAAAATCGGCCACATGTGTGGCGTAAAAGCACGCGACGTTCCGCTAGTTATTAGAGCTGTGAGATTTGTTCCGCAAAATTAATGTAAGAACTTGGCTGAACTCCGAGGTCATTCAATGTACTGGGAAGAGCAAAACATTGCTTTATTTGGAACACCTCACATTTTGCGCCAAGTATTGTGGAAGCACCGACAGTCGCTAGTTCGGCTCTTTAGGAAGCTGGCTGCAACCTAGAGTTTTATATTCAACCGACTCATAAAATCTTTACTCGGGAATTAGAGGTATATTATTAATAATAATATTAGTAATAAACAATAATGATAAATAACAATAATAATAATAACAATAATAATAATAATATTAATAATACCACGGATTATACAGGAGCACACTCCCAATCCGAACCCCGCCAGATCACAATATATACGATATCAATTGATTTACAAAGCCTGTATTTAAGTGAATAAAAAAAGGTTTTGAAAGGAATTACGTGATTCGGGAAAGAGACACAAAGATCATGCGGGACTTTTTTTTTATATTTCCGACAAATGGTCGAAGTATTGATTTATTAACTCTTATTTACCATAAAAAGCCATGTTATAAAATTCCTTTTCCTTTCACTACATTGTTCTTAATAACTTTTTAAAACGTCACTTAGTAATTAAAAGCTTTGCTGCTGTATGTCTCTAGATATTGTAAATTTGTGACTATAGTTCGTACGTATAATAGGATAATATTTCACATTTCTTTTGTAAACTGCAAATTACATCATTATGGGAGGTATGAATTATAAATTTAATTTATCAAATATTTACTAGGAAATCACAAAAGAGTATGTTGAATATCGCTTGTTTATTACATTTATTAATCAGATAGCGAAATTAACGAACGGTTTCCACTACAATGTAATCAGAATAATGAATGTAAACTTTAAATTAAACATTAACTAATCTACAGAGTTTATTGATCCTCACAGTGGAATCAGCTACTTCTTTTCGCTTAGTTCAATAACAGTGTGCGATTTATTTCCAACAGATTTTATCAACATTATGTACTTTGCGTTTACGAACGATAGAGTAATTTTCCGGAGTACTGGTTTATACCAAGTATACCATATGTGGTATGGAGAAAGTTATGTAATGCTGCAGAAAATCAATGTGGACATTTTGACGGCAATTCACGTTTTTGGAGCCGTGAAACCAAAAAGTGTTGTGGTTTCAAAACCTCTGTCGAGCCATAATCGCAAACGCACCTAAAGACTCCACAAGATTTTCTCAAACCCGAATAACTTCAACCGACCAAGGCCCAACGAATCTGTATTACTCATTTTCAATGCGCGCAGATATTGAAATAAATATGAGACCTCCGGCCTTGTGAAAGGTATATTTGGTTTTGTTAGGTGCTCAGGAACTTGCAAAAAACTCAGAAAACAACGAAAGAGTTTCTATTTCGACTGTAAAATTAATATAATTAGTGTGTTATTACGCCTATTCTCATACTGAGCGTAACGACTGAGATCTCGTACGTAGTGTCTCGCTGCTTACGATATAGTTGTCATGCGACAGAATGGTTCCAAGGAAGATTGTTGCATTGAGTAACTGCAACCTTTTTTATATTCTTTTTTGGACTGTGTATCCAAATGTATTACACTATTATGTTATTGCAGTATTTGATACTGCATAAAATATTTAATTTATTACAGTGTTATACGACAGTACATTATTTCTTGTTCTTGAGCAGTGTACATGATACTTACTCATTTTGTGTGGTTTGTTTATCAGAATTTTTAGTTCTGCAGGCTGCTATTATTAAAATATCTCAATTCACATTCTTTTAATTCTTCAGTCATCCCGAACTCACGTCAGCAAACAAACAGCGAGAGATTCGAATAAGCGAAATATCATAATTTGTGGTTTCTATGAAAATTGAATGAAAATCTGCACAGTCACTACACTTTATTAATGAAAAACTAGTGGTTCTCCAACAGCACATACTTTCTCGCATTATTTCTAACATCTCAGTTTATTTCCAGCACATCATTAAAACATGTAAGATTAATTTCCCATATACTAAATCTAGCCTCCAAAAATAAAGGCCATCCAAAATATTGCATTATGAATGCATATAGAACTAAATATTCGAAACTAAATATCGGATAAATACCGAATAAAAAGAAATAACTTTAAGCACATTATAAGAAGTTAACGCTTATTATAATACGTTATTTGTCATTTCCCTTTTATATAAATAATAGTGATGAGTCTGAAATTTATCAGCTTGCTATTCAGAGAGCAATATGTCCCTGTCTCAAACAAGGCGCGTAAAATTTGAATTAACTATTTCGGATTTTTTTCCTAATTTTAGAAAATACAGAGTATATCAAGAGACCGGTCCCACTTTCTTTGCTATACTTTCCTACATTACGCGAAAAAAACTAAAGACAAAATTGGAACCTTTTCTGAGAAAATAATTGTTAAAAATTTCAAAATTGCTTAATTTGATCCAGAATTACACCAAAAATACTCATATTTGGAACATAACCTCATATGTAAATCTGTTTCTAATAAACACATTTCATTGAGAAAAATTATCCTCATACAGTAATTATCGAAACGCACCGAAAAATTTTGAAGTTTTACAATTTTCGAAAAAACAAGGATTTTTACGAAACCGAGATTAGCACCTTTCTCTTAAGCGTCAATTACAAGGTCGAAATTAATCAAAAAATGGCTTGAGCTGTGGCGCGAATCAGATTGATCAAACGATGATTCAACGACATCTGGTGAGGCCGCGATCTCAAGCTGGGGCTCTGGAAAATTGGTTTAGCAACTTTGCTTTGGTGTGAGCGAACGACGTTCGCCGCGTGTTTTTGGGGAAGAACCTGACTAGTTCGCAGCAAAGTAGTGGATATACGTTTGATAGTGTAGGTACGAATTGTATTTTCATTCTTATTTCGCATGATAAGTATAATACGTCATTCATTAAATTAAGTAATAATTAAAAGCCATGCCAAAATTTCG